CCCCCCCCCAGCTCTGTCCCAGTGTTTGTACAGACCCAGCAGAAGTGGCGCCGTATGTATGTGGGTGTGTGTGAGGGGGGAGGGCTGAGGACCAACTACGACATGGTCCATCTGAAGAGGATCCCTCAGCAGTACAACCACCTGGCCGGCCTGCTTGACGTCTTCAAGTCCAAGATCGTGAGCAGCTTGTTCTTGTACATGTATCTACACTTGAAACACATCAGTACATCATTGATTCTAGTACCAATGTTTATCAGTACAGCTGATCAGTACAGTGACCTTACAAAGTTGCCAAAAATCTCTGTCTCGCAGCGGAAGCATACTGGAATGTAGGATGGCATAAACTTGATGATAAAGCACATGCAAACCACAATGGAACCTTAGCCTTAGTTACTTGTTATTTGGAGGTTTAGTGAAGTTTTCCATGTCATTTCAATGAGCAAACAGTACTGTACATATAGCAAAACTTCTTATATCAATCTTCAATGATCAGTCTGTGTACTGCATACACAGATTTATGTAGGAGGTATTTGTTGATAATATTGTCCTGCATTCTGTCTTGATTGTCCCACAAACTGCCCTCTCTCCTGCCCTGCTCCAGGCCTGTCCCCTGCCTGCCCTGCCTCCTGTGACAGTGTCTGTCCGCTTCACCTACATCCTGTCTGACTGGACACAGTCTGCCTGGACACAGGAGCCTCCGGGTAGGGTACATTATACAGAATAAGTCAAACAACTCGATGAATTCTTCTGAAGAGTTATATGGTCTGCATCTGCTATCTTTAGACAGTGACTGAATATCTGATTTGATATGTAAATGAGAAAATCCAAAATATCTGATTTGATATGTAAATGAGGAAAATCAAGTGCTCCTGTTAGCCTTGTATCAAGTACATGTAGCACTGGAGATTAAATCTGACAGAACTTGTAGTACAGACATCTAAGTTTATGTTCAGACTTCCTAGTTCAAATGTATGTTCTTGTTTTGCCCAGACTTTGACATTCCGTACGGTGGAAATGTTGGAGGGGCGGAATTCGGGAAGCTGCCATTTGGAGCATTGGAGGACCCAGTCAGGTGAGACAATTCCTCAGTTTAAAGCATGTACACTATAAGATACACATATGTATCAGGTAAGGAAGACATGGAGAGGAATAGAAAAGTTCAATCAAAGTGAGCGTGCCAGAGTAAATGCTCAGTTTACATGTTTACCAGTAGAGAACGGGTAGCCAAATAGCTACATTTTTGTACTTCAGTATGCTAAAGCTTAAAACATCAATACTGTATATCCAGTAAATATAATGCTGCCATGATTGTGATGAGTGATGTTTTTATGTCATGTCTCCCTGCAGTGAGCTTCACCTGTCCACCACCTGGCCCTGTCTGTCGGAGGAGATGATCGTGGACAACTCTGTTTACTCGTGAGTTACCATGGTTACTGGGGTCATCATTGTTTCATATGCAGAAAGCCAGTGTAATGAATAACAAGCTACATGCAACAACATTACATTCTTATGCTTGTACAAGGGTCTATATGGGGTTTACCTTGATTCATTTGTACAAATCTTGATAAATACCTTATATTTCCACCAGGGACTTGGACCCCATACAGGCCCCTCAGTGGTCAGTACGAGTCAGGATGACAGACAACCCCCAGTGCCTCTTGGGTAAGTGATGAATTCTGTCTGCAATTTTCAATGTATAAGTTATTTCTATTATTTCACAAAAAATTAGATTGTGTGTGGTTGTAGCTGTAATCCGCATGGCTGCTAATTGACAACCTGTTACATTTGCTGTTGCTAGGTAATATTTGTGGTTGCTAGGTAACAGCCTGTTCTATTTGTGGTTGCTAGGTGACAGCCTGTTCCATTTGTTGTTGCTAGGCTACAGCCTGTTCCATTTGTTGTTGCTAGGTGACTACCTGTCAGAGTTTGTGAAGATCTGCCACAGCCTGGAGTCCACAGACCAGCTGCTGGGGGGCCTCATGCTGGACGATGATGAAAAGGTAGTGTGAAGGGATAGTTCTTTTTTTACTAAATTTGTATTATTTGTAACTGCATTTTATGCTTGTAGTTTGAGCTACGATGTCACATAAATGAAAATTTTGCTGCTGCTGTAATACAAACATGCATTCACATTTATTTGGGGTTGTATGTGTATACACTGTTAGTTACGGCAGAGCATTCCGCTCAGAACCAAGAGGTCCTGAGTTTGAATCTTGCCAAGTCAAACAACCTTGTGCCTTTGGGAAAGGCACTTTACACAACTTTCTCACTTCACTCAGGTGTTAATGAGTATGCCAGAATGATTATTATTATGATCGTGGGCATTAAAGGAAAAACCAAAAACCATTTAGCTATGTCCTTTCCTAGATGAAACATTCAGTCATTTATGGCATCCTTCCACCCCCACAGACCCGTCCCGTGACGTGAGCGCTGCGTTACAGCGTCTGACAGAACCCTCCCCCCTCCCCCTCCCCACCATCTCTGACGTCGTCAGTAACATGAAGACACGGACAAAGTTCCGCCGTAAGGAGGCTCCCATAGGGGGAGAACTGCTCAACATGATTCTACAGGTAGGGTTTGTTTCTTTTACAGGTAACTTTTACTAGCTTCTCCCTTAAAGAGTTCAACATTATGGTACATGATAAGTCTGCTAAAATACATGTAGTTAAAAAAGGATTGTTTGATTTAACTTCTAACACCAGATATCTGCACCAGACCCATTCCATAAGTTTGATTCTTTGTAGGTAACTAGCTAGTTCCTCTTAGAGTTTAGCATTAAGATACATGATCGGCTAGAATAGTTATATGGAAGGCTGGTTTGATTCACTTATAACTGTTGGATTTTTCAGTAGACCCTTTCCTTAAGCTTAGATAGTCTTACTGTCCTACAGTTCTCCAAATGGCTGCTCTGTATTCTTTCTAAAGTACACCATTTGTACTAACTTGGCCATCATCAGGAAACTTTGCTGTTATGTTGTACATCACGACAACTGTATATAAAACTTGTTTATTGTAGAATTAGATTATTCTGTTGACCCAATAGCTGAAGTTTCCAATCTCCAAGTTTTCACATCTCTCCCCCAGTTCCTGTTCCCTGATGCAGCCCTTGAAGGAGCCACACCAACAGAGAAACCTTCCAAGGAGCAGGGAGGAGAGAAACAGGACACAGCAGAGTATAAGGTATTACCAGTGAAACCTGCTGTAACAGGACTGTATCAGAGTTATTGCATTTATATATGTAATGATCAGCTAGTATTGTAACCACACTTTGCTGCAATGCACTGGCTTTTCAGGCACACTGTGGTGACTTGATATGTATTGCACCATACGTAAGTACACTGTGAGCCCAAGCTTTCTAGTACAAAAGTTTTTACTGTTTTTGCTGATACATGTAACATGTTCTAACTCTAAAATGAATGGATTAGAACACATTAAGGGCTTTCCATTGTTTCCCAACATGTACTATATGTCCTCAAGGCAAGTAAAAAAATTAGAAACAAAGCTGAAATCCCTTTATTTCCCTGTCCAGGAGACATACCGTCAGTACAAGTCTTCTCCTGAAGGCAGCCTGATGTACCAGCTGGCCATGTGCATGTGTGTGGTCAACACTAACCACGGAGGGCTGAGGGCCGTGGCTCATCTGTGGCAGGAGTTTGTACTGGAGATGAGATACAGATGGGAGAACAACTACTCTATTCCTGGGTACGTGTGTGTTCAGTACTAAGGACAGGGTATATGTATGTGGATGGTGTTCAGTACTAAGGACAGGGTATATGTGTGTGGATGGTGTTCAGTACTGAGGACAGGGTATATGTGTGTGGATGGTGTTTAGTACTAAGGACGGTATATGTATGTGGATGGTGTTCAGTACTAAGGACAGGGTATATGTGTGTGGAAACTGGATGGTATTCAGTACCAAGGACAGGGCATGTGTGTGTGGATATTGTTCAGTACCAAGGACAGGTGTGTGTGTGTGTGTGGATGGTGTTCAGCACTAAGGACAGGGTATTTGTGTGTGTGGATAGTGTTCAGCACCAAGGACAGGGGTATTTGTATATATGAGTGTGTTTGTGTGATAGTGTGTGTCTTGTCTGTATTCTATTTTCTCTGGTCCATATGCACATGCATGTATGTAGTGAGCTGACCAGATGGTTAAAATGTTTTCTTTCACTTCCATTTCCAGACTGCCAGAGGGAAGTCCTGACATGTCGGCCTGCCTCTTACTCCAGAAACTACAGGTGAGGACATAGAGAAGGGTTTCAAATCCCATTTCTGCCAAAATTCTGTACAGGAATGTGTCAAAATAGATGTAGACATACATGATAAATTCAACTGGTTGTAGATATAATTTTTGTCTAAGTCTATCCTGTTGTTCCCAGATGCTGAACTGCTGTATACAGAGGAAAACAGCCAGAGAGGCCAGGATGAAGGAGGCAGCCAAACAGCAGGCTTCTGCAGCTGCTGCAGTTCCGGAGAAACCTGTTAGAGGGAGCTCTTCTGATGGCTGGGAGGTGGAGGACAGTGATGAGGAATTTTTCGAATGTGAGACTGAGCTGGAGATGGAAACGGACGAGAACATAGCTTCCAATTCGGACGCTGATTCGGCACAGAACAATACCTCGCCCAAGGGAAAGGTAGCATCAAATTCGGAGCCGTCCAATAACAGAACTAATATGCACAAGTCGGAGAGTGCCATGTCGTTTAAGGACACGGTGGTGTTCCAGCCAGAAGGGAGGCTGAAGCAATGTGGAGACCTTTGTCTGCTGGATAGCAGCGAACCCCTGTACATTCCCATTACACAAGAACCAGGCCCCATGACTGAGGACATGCTGGAACAGGTGGGTAGCCAGTGGTGGTCAAAATGCATTGGTCTGAGGCTTATCTGCAAGTGTGAATATGTTAGTATTAACAGCTTATTTTACATTGTAGTCTTGCAAGAAAGGCCTTATGTTACATGATTATTTTCATGAAATATCCAAAAGAACAGTAGAGTAGGTATGGATAATACCAAAGGTGTAGATTTGGTTTATAAGGTATTAAGTTGACCATACATTTGGCAACGTTCTCTTGATTTATTGGATGATGTTCTCAGAAATTTCAAGTTTCATAGGGACAGAAAAAATTTGTGAGTGAGTGGGCTTACTAAGACACCTTACCCTGTTGCTAAACATTTCTCCTTCTTCTACAGCATGCAGAAGTACTGGCTAAGCTAGGTACCTCAGCAGAAGGAGCCCATCTCAGGGCTCGCATGCAGAGTGCCTGTCTGTTGTCTGACATGGAGGCTTTCAAGGTACAGAACGTTTCTCTGACTTTCAGTATAGCTATAGGATACTAGTATTCCACTGTGTTACAAATCATCATAATATGTTGCATATCCTTGTATACATGTAGTGTGTTGTTTAAAAGATATCCAAAAGCTAATGTTTTATTGTATTGTTGTACCAGTTCTATAGCATCTATAATTGTACCGATATGCAAATAGCCTGTGATTACTATAATTTATATTTCAGGCTGCCATTCCCGGCTTGGGCCACAAAAAGTTCATGTACACAATAATTCATGTATTTCCTGTATTGCGGAATATATCAGTATGATACTGCTTTTGTAAGGCAAAACTTTAAGTAGTCTGTTATTCCTATTCCAGGCTGCGAACCCGGGTTGTAAACTGGAGGACTTTGTGAGGTGGTACTCCCCCAGAGACTGGATAGAGGAGGCACTCACAGATGAGACAGGTGAGAAAAGTCAGAAGGATGCAGGGCATAGTGTTGGAAGAGTGCTTGCTGACTATACCTAGGTTATCTGTATTGTTGTTTTCTGACCAGTCAAATGAGGAAAGCTGTGATTAGAATTCTGTTGTTCATATCCACAGGCAAGCAGTCAGTAAAGATCTTATGTGAGAGCTTTGTTTGCCAGGATGGTACATGTAGTACTGGTGTGCCAGGACAAGTTTCATGTACCTGGTAGTTAAAAACAAGTTAGTAACAACCTTCTCATGAGAGCTTTAGTTCCTCCCCAGGCCAGAAGGGAGAGTTAAGCCCGTAGATATGCCATGACAAGGATGATATTAATAGTTATTTAAAATTATTATGTGAGAGTTCTGTTCCTCCCCCAGGCCAGCGAGTTTTGAAGGGAGAACTGAGCCCTCGGATGCGTATACCAGGGAACATGTGGTGTGAGGTGTGGGAGAGCGCTCGCCCGGTTCCTGCAAGGAAACAGAAACGTCTGTTTGACGACACCAAGGAAGCTGAGAAGGTACGCAGCAGGTCTTGGTGATATTTCTTGAAAATCCATTTTTTATTGGAGTACAGTAGTGCAGACACTATTCTATAGATTCTTTGTGATTTGTCATATTCCATTGGAATGTCCCACAGCCCACATACTGTAGACATACATGTACTCACTTCCTTTCAAACAAAGTTTATGTAATCTCTGGCACAAAGATAGCAAGTTAAATAGAATATATGAGGACCCTAGACTGCCTGGCAGAGGTCTTTGCTGTCCAAGTGCTTTACTCTATGGAATTCCTAAGAGCAGAGGAATTACATTTTTGCTTCCTATAGTTTATGTTGAGCAACTTTGTGTTGTTTTTATGTTGTTCTCCACCAGGTCCTGCACTTCCTGGCAGCGCTGCGCCCAGCCCAGGTGGCGCTGCATCTCATGCCCATGCTGATCCACGCTGCCATACTCAGGGTCGAGGAGGAGGGTGGGTTTGTTTGTCTGTTTGTGCTTCTATTTCATTAGAACACTTGTGACCATTGAAAGCATGACACTAAAAAAATTGTTATTAGATGGAAATTCTTGTAGAACTGGCACAACTTTAGTCACAGAATGTCTAAGCAGACTGTGACAGAGCCAACCACTGATAAGGATCTAAGACAGCCTTTTGTGTGACAAGACAACTGATCTTCATTTACAACATGTGCACAACTGTTCCAAGAATGCCCATAGTTGTGATCGAACAACATATAAGACCAGTCACTTAATTAAAAAGCTTATGAATGAAGCACTTGCATGATCATTTCCTTTCCCTCTATGCTACAGGAGAGACGACCCCCCCAGCCCTGGCCACCATGCTGGCACAGATCCAGTCCCGAGCCTCTAAGGTCCTCCGAGCACCGAACATGGATGCACAGAAATGTGAGGTAAGCACACAAGACCTTAGTGTTGACTGTGAAAATCTTGATGTTCGTACTGTCTTTTCTTGAGCTTTCCTTTCTTGCATCTTTCATGCTCCTTAAACATCGCTTCTTCGAAAGGAAATCTACTCAACATTATCATCTAGAATCAAAATTTGTAACATCATTATTAGGACATGACATGTATAAACTTGATACAGACATTTGCTCTGATAACTATAACTTACAGTGAAATATGTTGCCATTGCACTTTTCTAATGTTCCTGCTCCTTCTAACTGCCATGTTTTGCTCTTCCATGTCCCCATCCCATGGTAAAGGATTTGATGGTAAGACCTACATGTACTCTGTAGTAATCCAAGCATGTAGATGTGCAGAGGTGGATGGAAACTGCACAACTGATCCCCACATGATGTCTTCTAGCTCTTTTGTTACTGTATTCCTTTTCATGGGGAGCACTGCTCTAGCAAGGCTTCTATATGAAACATGAATGAACCTGAGCATGCAATCTACACTGCACAAAGGTGGAGGTAAGGCTTACAAAAAGGTCCTGTGTTTATGCAATAGTGGCTGCTGACATTGTGACAGACTGCATGTGGTAACTGAGGGGGTTGGCCAAATGTATTGAAGCATCTTTCTCAACGGTGGCAAATGGAACAATAATGTTATTATTGAACAGAATCAGATGGTTATGTAGAACACCTAACCTAGGGCGTACAAAACTTAGAGGCTGTAAAAAGTCACTTCAATGCATATGGCTCAATTCATAGTCACCATTTTTAGTTTATAATTTAGCATTGTTAAAAGTGTTTGCTTTGTTGACAGGAACTTGTGAGACAAGTGACCCTAGTTGAGACCGTCATCGCCCGAGCGCGCTCCCTGAGGGCAAAGTTCAACACGGAGAAGGCCGGTAGCGAGGACGGAGTTCGGGAGCTGGAGCGTTTTGTGTCGTCGCTATTGGAGCAGCCGGAGGTGACGGTGATCGGGGCAGGCAGGGGACCAGCGGGGACCGTCATTCACAAACTCTTCGCTACTGCACAAAAGGTAAGGATCATGGGTCTGTGTAGGTGTGTAAACAGGTATCAAAAGCAACGTGAAGGAAGAAAAAGTATTAGACATGACAATTGCTATATGAAATGCATTCTAGTTTATTGGAGTACAAAATAACTCGTAATGTCAGACCATTACCATTAAGTTCTTGTTTGCAGAATGACTCAAGCTTTACTAGCCTCAAGCAAAATTATCCTTCCTTCTACTGAATGATGCATTGTATATCAGATGGTCAGATGGTCCTTGTGTAGAGGTGGTCACTAGTACAAGTTTGGCTGTACCTGATTTAGATAGTTCTGATTGGTTGACAGTGTTGATGATACATCATTGCTGTTGTTCCTCCGCAGGCTGCTCACTCGTATGACGACAGTGACCATTCCCCCTCGGAGCACAGCGCGGAGCTCGACTCGTGCCCGGACTTCCCCAAACCCGCGGGGCGGGAGTACATCCTGCGCACCACCGTGCCTCGTCCCTGCCCGGTCTCCCGGCCCTGCCCCCAGCGCATGTTCTGTACTCTCATCAAGGAGGACTTTAGACTCGCGGGAGCTTTCACCTCTGACACGACCTTCATGTGACCTTCATGAAGGTCATGTGAAGCGCATGTTCTGTACACTCATCAAGGAGGACTTCAGACTCGCGGGAGCTTTCACCTCCGACACGACCTTCATGTGACCTTCATGAAGGTCATGTGAAGGTCATGTTCTGTACGCTAATCAAGGAGGACTTCAGACTAGCGGGTGCTTTCACCTCCAACACGACCTTCATGTAACCTTTATGTGACGGTTAAATGAAGGTCATTTGAAAGTCATGTTCTGAACACTCATCAAGGAGGATTTCAGACTCGCAGGCGCTTTCACCTCCGACACGACCTTCATGTGAAGGTCAAATGAAGGTCATTTGGAGGTCATGTTCTGTACGCTCATCAAGGAGGACTTCAGACTCATGGGCACTTTCACCTCTACATGACCTTCATGTGAAGGTCAAACATGGAATAATTATGTAAAAAGAATGAAATATTAAAAAACTATCAAATTTCAATAATCGAGAACAAAATTTTGTCTTCCTGAAGAATTGTGACTGTATAGTGCTCCAAAAATGTGAAGAGACAACGGTGTCAACGCAATGTATGGATAAAGGTGCAAACAGCTTTTCATGGTGCTTCCTAGAATTAGCAAGAATTTACAGTAGAATTCTTATTTCTTTCACAGAATATTTTGCTTTAGAACAAATCCCACCCTTACTGGGTAACCTTTAGTCCCACAGTTTGAGCCCTGCTTTCCTGTACAACGTGTTTGTACCACCATTCCATGAGTCCCAGGAATTACTGATGGGTAATTATTATTGAGATTTTGTTGTCTATTTCGGCATATACTGTATGCTGTATTAGGTTTTCTGGTTCAGTCTCCCTTGTAAGAAAGTTTATCAGAACAAAATTCTAAAACCTATTTCTTTTGATAAACCAGGATTAAATTGTTTCTTGAACCAGCAATGTTCCTATTCTATAACCTTAATCTACATGGGTCGCAGTTGGACATAGGTGTGGCCATATAAAATCTGCACTAAGACTGAAACTTTCTCTTAAGTTGAGAAAAGCAATGGTTTATTCACAATAGAACAATTTCTCCTTTGTAGTTATTGGAGGTTAAGCCCATATGCTAATTTATTGCCAGAGTAATGTACCTGTACATTTATGTAAAATAAAACAATGCATTGAAAAACAGTTAGCTGCTGTGTATATTTTTCCTTATCATTTTCATCATCTTTCGACCTTATTTATTTATTTCCTTATCAAATACATTGCTACGTGCATACCTTAAAGTATAGAAAGAAAATATTTCTAGAGATACCAACTGAGGTTTGGAAAATATCACTTTAAAAGATGTTAAAATGACCCATGTTAAAAGTGAGAAATGTAAAACTGTCCTTTAAGTTATCAGCATAAATTCTTATTGCTTGTCAGTTGATAGTGCTAAATTAATCCACTTATTAACTTAATTACACAACTCACTACAATGTTAGAATACTTAAGGTGCGTCGGCGGTTATTTCCTTGTTCCAGCGACACTATTTGAAACATCAGGTTCGATATGACCTTTACACGTGACCTCTCCGGGTCGCCATCTTCACTGCTGTCATGTCATATTTGGGGCGTTGCATCCGTGTCTTCTGTGTTTCCACGCAATCGTCGGCAAGTTAAAGCTTTGAAGGATGAATAGTAGAAGAAAGATGGCTTCTAAGAAGCTTGGTGAAAACGACCGCGGGCGCGTCAAGATCAAGACTGAGGTAAGAAATCGGGACTGAATGGGAGGGGAGGGGGTTCAGATTTCCGAGTGCAGTGCTTGCGTCATCACGCTAATCTCCAAGCAGACGTTACGTTGGGGGGGACGATTCTAAAGTTTTTGTGTTGGAATGGAAGGTATTCACGGTTTCTGACTGCTTCATTTCGGCCGTTTTGTTAGAACTGTACCAAGGGGGCCCCACAGTCATCTACACCCTGCGTGAGGCACCTGTTTATAATTTGCCGTCTGCTCCATCGACTTTTATATTTTGCAAACAGCAGTCAGACTGTTGATATAACAGATACACTGTACGATTATGGCATTTATCACGTCATGAAAACAGTTAAAGCGTTGGCACTAGGACATTGCAAAACACCCAGGGAGTGGCTGAAATCTACTAATCATTGAAAATGATTTGTACTTTGTAAGTATTGACTAAAAATGTCCTTGGCACTGAAAACTGTGGATGGACAGGACCTAAGTCTTTATATTATATATCATAATCCATTAGGACTGACTGTATGTTGTTGTTGTTTTTTTTGTCCTGGCATGAATTCATTCATTTATGCAAATGAAATCTACACATGCATGTAATCATAGAAACCAGGTGGCTTGTGTTTGTGTAGACCATACAACTTTGTGTGTTTCAGATCAAGACGAAAACAGCAAAAGGGGCAGCAACAAAGGAAGTCCGTAAGAAACGCATATACAGATGTCCCCAGTGTAAGTATCGGACAGACTGTGGCAGGGCACCTCTCCAACAACACATGATGACTCACACTGGTGAGCGACCGTACAAGTGTCAGGAGTGTAGTTATGCTTCATCCCAGAAGGGACGTTTAAAACAGCACGTATCAGCCGTACACAGAGGAGAGAAGCCCTACCAGTGTGACCAGTGTAGCTACTCCGCTTCACAGAAGGGCACCTTAAAACAGCACGTCTCCAGTGTACATAACAAAGTGAAGCCGTACAAGTGTGACATGTGTGGGTACTCCGCAGGGTTTAAGTGCAACCTGAGGCAGCACATGATCACCCACAGAGGGGAGAGACCCTACCAGTGTGACCAGTGTCCCTTTGCTGCCAACCAGAAGGTTCACTTAACCCAACACATCCAAGCTAAACACAACGGTGAAAAACCGTACAAATGTACCGAGTGTGATTACGCTACAGGGCACCGCAGCACTCTAACCTACCATCTAACCAAACACACAGGCAAGAAACCGTTTAAGTGTGAGGTCTGTGGCTACTCCACCGCTGTGAAGAGTTGTTTGACGGAGCACGTGCTGATCCACACTGGAGAGAAACCCTACCAGTGCGGCGCGTGTGAGTACGCCACCGTCAGCCTGACCAAACTCAAGAAGCACATGGCGACCCACACAGGAGACAGACCCTACAAGTGTGGACACTGCAGCTACACGGCCATACAGAAGGGCAACATGAAGCGCCACATCCTGGTACAGCACACCAGCGTCAGGCCATTTGTGTGTGTACAGTGTGGCTATTCCACTGCACGTAAGGGAGACCTGAAGAAGCACGTTGCTACACACAAGGTTGTGGTGAAGGAGGAGCCTTGATACCAAATCCAGTTTATACCTTAAAGCCCTGGCTATTTAGTTTTACGTTGACAATGGAAGGTTTTCTGCGACAATCGTGCCATATGGTATGAGAAGAGAGTTTAAAGTTAAACTAAGTTATTGCATCCATTCCTTCTCAAACCTACCACATACAATATCGTTGCAGAAGTCATCATTTTGCATGCATCGTAAGATGTATATGTGACCAGGACATGCATTTAGATATACATGTATGAGAGCTAACTTATTATTAAAGGATATCAATTTGTACTATGACGACCAAAAGGAATTCAAGTGTTAATAGACTAAGTACTCAACTGAGAACGGAACGTCAAAGCTAAGTTCGATGGTGAGGACAAAATATTTGTTCCTCACCATAATCTTTTGCCAATCAAAAATCAATAAATACCGGTAGATCTAGATATCAAAACCAAATGAAAATAAATGACAATGTAGCACAGAAGAGGAATGGTTGAAGATGGTTAGGCTAGTTGGTGTTACAGTTGGATTTCATAGTTAGACATTTACGTTATGGTAAGGCAGGATTTCTTGCCATTTTCTGTTTCTTGCATTTCCTGTTTCTTGCAAAATATATAAAACCACTAAGTCTTCCCTGTGCAATATGTTTTGAGTTGGATTAAAGCCATGGACCATGTATATAAGAGTGTCTTTTTCTTCATACATGTATTGCTTCTTCTTCTTCTTTCGTATGTAGTAATGCAGTAGTTTATTCTAATGCTGTGTAGTCTGCCAGTCCCCTGATTTTAAGTCATGTGAAGAGCTCAGAGACAAAAGCACCAAAACTCAGGAATAACACAATATACCCATTTTATCACATGCATCTGAAGACTCTTCATGCAAATTTTGCTGTTCTTTGGACAAAAACAATATAATCATCAACATATTGCTGTACAATTCTTGTCTGCTTCCTACACCATACATGGAATGTGACTATTACACAAACATAACACAGTCAAAATCAAATACTCTTTAACAATAAATATTGCTAATGTCAAGAATTTTCTGGTACATTTCACCATAGGCTTGCCTGAGTTTTGCTATTAAGAAACAGAACAGAAAGAATCATTGTGTTGACATTGTGACTGACAGATATATAGACAGTATCTTATATGTCCAGCTCTTACAATTTTATGTGCAGAAATTTAGGCAAATTATTTCTTTATGATTCTAAGTTTCCTCCTAGATTCCTTCCCAATATCCATTCCTAAAATTCTTCTAAATTCTTCAATACAAAGTTGTGTCCATAGAGTAGGGTACCGAATCTGAGATGTACAAATCACAGATCCTTTTTGACTTGTTCACAGGCCACTAATAAACTTTCACAGATGATGTCAATCATTGAATGTTCAGACTAGACTAAGTCTTTACAAATATTTGGTAAAGTGTACCAGACTGATTCTACTGGACCAATAGAAAAATTTAAGATTGTGAAGGAACTTATGGAATTCCATTAATATCATCAAGAGATACACAAAGTGGCAGTGGACAGCCTATCAGTTTATATTAAACAAATGGTACCAACATTGAATTTGTTATATTTCAACAGAACACTTCATCGACCTTCAGCCATTTTGAAATTAAAGGTCATGAAATGTAGCAAAACAGATCCAGACTATCCATGGCAAGTATAAATATGATAAAATTGCAAAAAAAGTACTAGTACATTACTGTGCTACCTCTGGCTGGCATCTGTGAAAGGTTTGATTTCTGCACCCAAAAGATACATGTAGTAGAGCCAAAGGTCAATGAAAGTGACTGTTCATTCTCTGATGCTATACTGTATTCTGCCATAATTTTGTGGGCATCCTTATAAAAGACACCATAAAGTACTTTTTTTGTAAATTAAAGAAAAAATATTTCTTCACCAGCTCTTCCAGGTTGTGGCTTTTTAAGTATTACTGTGATCTTTCTAAGTATAGTAGTCAAGTGACACTACCAATGTACATTGTACTAGTTACTGTTACAGTAGGAAAATCACTGTACATCTAGTAGTAATGTCACGCAGTACTGTATCTTATATTCAAAGTTGTACAAATTTACATGTGTACATAATGACTCTATGATATACTAGTACCATGGCAAATTTCTTTGTAGTGATCATGTACATTTCAAAATTGTCCCAAAGTTTGAAAGCTAGTCCCTACAGCTGCCCCCCTCCCCACCACTACCCTAGTACCCCTGTAGCCCGTTGTACACTGTCTGTGAAGAACCCTGCTGTAAAACTTTCCTTAGAGCCTCCTTGTTCTCATCTGATATACTGCCTTTGGGAAACTCCACGTCAAACGTGATGACTAGCACGCCTCTGTTGTTGTTGTTCTCGTAGTTCGGCATGCCTTCCTCCTTTTTCCGTATTTTGGAGCCTGGCCACGTGACTTTGTCCCGAACTATATGAACCTGGAAGAATAAAATATGAAAGAAACTGTCACAAACAGATCAAGGATCACTGTTAACCATAAGGGGACAGCATAGAGGGGAGGGAAACAGTAAAACAGTACTAGTAGAAAAAGAACAAAACAAGACTGGTATTGTGATGTAGAATACAATGTAAGAATTAGACCACAAATTATAAACATAAGATACATGTTTTATCTAATCTTTACCTGTTTTCCATCAATAAATAAAAACTTGGATTGAGAAGACTTCAAGAAGCACAAGTGTGAAGAAAAACCTGTAAGTAGTATGACGTTCATATATCACACAAGAGCAGGTACACACATACTCAGAGATACTGAGACTGAAACATCTGAGACTGGTTGGGAAAACCACTGACAGAGTGTACACAGAGCCAGAAACAGGAAGAAATGGAAGAGACCAACACTGCAGGCTTCCATGGTCCCAGGACCTCAAACCTCGAACATACAGGTACCGAGACCCTGAAACTCATCATGTGCCCATCCATAAAAACCTATATGTGTAAATGTGTTTTAGATGTGTTTGCATCATGATATGTGTCTGTATACAATGGGCAGTAGAGCCTGAAATAAACAATAAACTATAAGTAGCATGTTGTATGTATATCACACAGGGATAAGGAGAAATAGACACCTAGTCAGAGATACTGAAACTCACCATGTGTCCATCCAGATGCTGGATGTCCATCTCAAACCCTGTGAGAGCGTCCTCCAGGGAGATGGTCACGTTTGTGTACAGGTCATCTCCTCTCCTCTCAAACTTATCATGTCTGCCGGAGGGAAAGGTAAAGAGAAATGAGTTAATAGTTTTCAAGGATAGCAGAGCACAATGTCAACTGTACACATTAACTGTGAGCCCATTGTGTGAAGTGTTACCTGTAAATCAATGTATTGATTGACAAAAGTTTTGTTGAAACACTAGTACCCTGTTAGAATGTCTTTGTAGAGAAACAGGAGGGCCCACATAACCAAAAATGGAATATCTCCAAAAGATCTGGTGCCATACAACCTATAATCAATTCTATACATTCCACATGATTGTGAAACATTTGACAAATCATATCAAGCATGCAGCTCCAAATCATAACTAATGGTTTGATTACAGAGCTGCTCTTCTGCTACACAGATACAGGATTGTTAATGTTATATACTGCAGACTTACTTGAGCTGAATGATGCGGAATTTCAGGTCTCCTGGTTCTCCATCTATGTGTGGCTCACCTGGGATTGGGATAAAAGAGTAACAACTTAGTCAACACAAAATCCACACAGAAGCTCTAGCACAAATAAACAGTCTCTGCAGAACTTAAGGAGATTGGCTATCTGTACTGCATTTTTTTTAGGTCTACAAGCACCATTGAAGAAGAAAAAACACTTTTCTCAGATATAGAAAAACCTCCCACCTTCAGACAGGAAAGGGTACTCATGTCCGTCCCTCATGCCCTGTTCAATCTCAACCTCCAGGATCTTCTCTTCTGTCACCATTCTGTAACAAACATGGTCATTCAACAATTATTACACCTTCATACAAACATTACAAATCTTCAGCAAGATAAGAGATACATGCAAGGGAGTGCATCAAGTCTCAGCACAGACCAAGAGACAGTTTGCAAGCTATGGTTACTCATCAAAAGTAGTCACACACGGTCCTTCTGCATCATCTGTAACCTGTATTACTGAGGTGTGCTCAACTGTATGTACAGACAGACTCTGTGCACAGCTGAACACTCATCACAAGTACATGTATCAGTGCTAAGCTATGTGTGAGGTTATGTTACAAATTTTACAGCTAACTTGAGTACTTACTTAACAGCGGGACACTCGTCACACACCGTCTCCTGCATCATCTGGAACCTGTATTACTGAGGTGTGCTAACCTACAGACATTACGGCAGTATGCTAACCTATAACGTACAGATATAGATTTTGTACTTACTTAACAGCGGGACACTCGTCACACACCGTCTCCTGCATCATCTGGAACCTGCCCGGCCCCAGCTGTGTGGTCTTCATCTCCTGCCGACAGTTACACTTCCGCACGCCTTTGGTCGTCCTGGCAACAGGCTTATACCTGATTATCTGACAACACATAAATTTAATTAGAAAAAATAGCTGGGAAAGTGGCTTTTAGTTTACCTGTTTCTTCACTCATAGGAAAGATATAATCACATTCTAATCCACCATCATTGGTTTACTTTCAGAGCTATATTTGTCTTTGATGTCCTTCTAAATTTGTTTGTTTTTATTGTTTGACATTAAATTATAGACACGTACTTTGCAGACATAAAAAATGTACATATTTGAGGTAAGGAAATCTAAAGACTTATTTGTGGTAAGGAAATCTAATCGTAGTTATGATCAGTAGTGTCCTAATAAATAGTGCCAATAGCATGTGCTATCAACAATTCATTGTCAAAACTGTGGACTACTGGCACGATGTGAACCAGGTACTCAACTCATGGAGAGGACCAGACCAGCTACTATGCAGTCATGATGTCTACTGATTACCTCTATAAAATCCCCCTTGTACAACTCCTCCAAGGTCACCTCAAGGTCGATGAGCACGTCACCGCCCTTTGGCATACCGGGATCGTGGTGTTGGCCAAAAAAATCATCGTCATTGGTGAAGAAATCACCGAAAAAACTGCAGGAGATATTTTAGCATGCAGGGAGGGAGGGGGAAGGGGGAGGGGAGAGGGGAAAGGGGTGCATAGAGAATTAGGATTGAAATATGCACATGTCACTGTAAAACCTGGGGGTGGGTGGGCAAACCAGGGGCCTTTGATTCAGACTGTGTTTGAAATACTAGTCAGTCAATAGCTAAAGGTTTTTGGAAGCCATTTTCAAGTGACCTTACTACAAATTTGATTATCTTCCTTAGAAATGTGGCAATTTCAGATGAATGGAATTTAGTTTCACACCCAACTGATTCACATAAAGTTTCTTCAATCTCAAAATTGTTTCTTCTTAAAGAGAAGGAGCTTTCCTTCCACTTTTTGCCCCTCTCACCCCCTGAAGGTTGACAATGACATGTGCACATTACCATAACAAGCAACATGAACACAAACGAGGTTACCTCTACAAAATTGCCCGTGTACAACTCCTCTAACGTGACCTCTAAGTCCACCAACACGTCCCCACCCTTGGGGATATCCTGGTGGTCGTGACCCCGACGACCTCCACCACCAAAACTGAACCCGAAGTCACCAAAGAAGCTGCAGGGAGGACAGACGGACACGGGACAACACGTCAGCTACAAACCCCACATGTACGCGCTGGGTGAACAGGGGGTCAAGTCAGGTGGGAATGAAATTTTGTGAAGGGACATTCAGAAGCATTCTTTTCAACTTTAAAAGCTTAAAGTCTTCATGTTCTTTTCCAAAGGCTGAAGTCCTTATACTGCACTTCAAGTTGCTAAGACTGAATTTTGGCAACATACAGTCTGGCACTACTTCAATTCTAACAAAAAGTTCTCAGGGCTGTAACATACATGATGATTGTATGTTTTCCCACTACGATCAGTTTTAATTTTTGTCTTTTTTTAGTATGGAAGAAGTGCTACTGTTGACAAAATTCAATCTTTAACTTAAGCAACTTGTACTGCAGTGGAATGATTTTTTTCTGTATGAGTTAACCATAAAGCTTTGAAGTTTGAACAATAAAAAATTTAAAGATCTTTTTGGCTACATGAAGTTGTGTTTATCTTGGACACTCCTGTTCTACACACCACCTGACTTCCCACAGCTGAACAGCAGAGGAAAAGAAAACTTTGTAAATAATGTTACAATGAAATTAAAATAACTCAGGGAGTAATAGAAAATTCAGAAAGGAAAACATTTGAAGTACCGCTAAATGACACAGGCAAGACATTTCTGTTAATGTTAATCACAATCTTAAAGGCAACTTAAAGGTAAGGCAAAAACTATACAACAATACTGTACCATAAAAAAATTGGAAAAAATTACAAGAACAAACTTAACACAACATGCAACAATTGTTATGCCTATACATGCAAAGCCAGATGAATTGGGTATAAAATATGGTTAATACATGATGTTACATGTAAACAAGTCTACACAAATATGCAACATGCAATGTTAATGGAGTTACATGATCTTCTTTGGAGACTTCCAGGTTTGAGCTACTTTATCTAATAGTAATAATTCTGAGCTCTTGTTTGGGCAAAATACTAATATGATATACTATAGTGTGTAAATTTGTCCGGGCTAGCAACATTCAGTGTTTTTACTGTTTACAATAGTAATTCTGTGTTCCAACAGAATGCTAATCATTTTAAAAGATCTACATTCTGTACACTGGAATGACAGCCAGATGCAGCCTTTCCCACAGTTACTAACACTTGTCACATATCAATGGAACTTCAAGCACTACAGGAAATGGCTATACTGTATACAATAAATCAATAGGGAAAATGGAAAGAGGCAGGTCTTAGATCTTAGAAAATTACACCACATGCCCCTGTAGTTACTAGTACTGCCAGCTCCCTTGGCACAGTAGCCAGTCACATGTCAGCAGTGACTATGGAGGGTGGCAACCAGGCTAGTATGGCTACCCTAATCCTTGCTTTCCTATGTGGGCAATGATATCATACATTATGATATCGTGAGAACTTGTAAGCAAATTTTTCTTACCTGGAGAAGCTTCCAAAAGGGTCAAAGTTGGACCCCTCCTTCAGACCCTCCTCTCCGTGTCTGTCATATGTCTTCCGTTTGTCTGCGTCTGATAACACCTGGGCAGAGTGAGACGGATTGATAAAAATTATTGTCTTGTTTTGTACCATATCAATTTATCATGCAACTTATGTGTGATGAAATTCTCCAAGCAGATCTCTTTTGATGGCAAGACAGTCTCCACGTTTGGTGAAATTTTAATTAAAAGTAATACTGGCATAATACAATATAGATCAAGGAACAACTGGATGAATTCTCCAGACTCCAGTAGGTTTATTTTGCAACTTTGCATTATGTAACACTTCACCCGAATATTTAATCTAAATCAACCAATAAAACCCTGACACAGCACATATTCTCATGACCTAAGGTCACCAGATTACGTAATGTTGACGTGGAGAATATATTCAAATTTCTATATCCCATGAGTGTCACACATAACCCTGTTTGTCTTATCTCTGTGGTTCGAAAATACTGTGAAAGACAGCTATGCTTCTCTACTGAACTGTTTGTAATGTAATGACTACCACACACACAACCAGTATCTACATCAGTACATGTATTGTATGGGTCCGGTGACTTACATAATATTGTTTATTCTCTGTATACCCATAGAAACAGCACCACTAACTGCTCAACAAAAACTACACCATTCAACAACAAGGAAATCCATTTATCCAATTACTTATGTAAACAGAGCCCTTTAAATGCAGGATCCCGCCACTACACAATCAGGAAGTCTATCCCAGTGACCTTTCACCCTCAGCAGCAGACCAATCAGAGACAGCCACACCACACAGCTGATTTACATGTGAATAAGAACACATGTGGCTGTGTTGGGCTGTTCCCTGATGTAGCAATGTACAAATCTAACGCTACGCTCAACATTACAAAGATTTGCCACAGTTCCTTTTCATCTGATTTCAACCAAAGGCATATTTCATCCCCAATAAGAGTCCATTTAGCCTTCCTACTGCTAGAAATCACTATATATCCATTCAAACTGGGGACAAATATAAAATGTTCTGGCCTGGTTTCTCCCAGTCAAATCTGTACTTCTAGATCTGTTACAACAAGTTTGTATTTTAGAATTCTAAGACAAATTTGTTTCTAGATTTTTTTCTGTAGTCAAAATGGCACATTCAGGGCACTTCTAGATCCCCATTCTCATACACATGTGACATACTTCACACCAAATCAAGTGGTTATTAGGAAGCCATATACTAGTATACAGTTAAAAACACTTGTCTGCCCCTCCCACCTACATGTAACTACAGTCCTGTTTCTATGTGGATCCAGCTGTCTACATTCAAACCCTTAGCACTAATACCATAATCAACTTTCCCGTATAAACCATTAAAATCCTGAATTCTAAACCAATGGTTTTCTTAGAGACTTGACAGTTCTTTATACTATAAATTATACCTTCTTATGTTTAGTATAATCTCCACTACCTTATAGACAACTGATTAGTCTGTACCTCGTATGCTGCTCCAATGTCGTGGAATTTTTCGTCTGCCTCTGGGTCGTCGGGGTTCTTGTCAGGATGATACTGCATGGCCAGTTTTCTGTACGCCCGCTTGATCTGGTTTGTCGACGCATCTTTGGGCACACCCAGAATTTTATAAAAGTCTCGCCTAACAAGAAGAAAATGAACAAAACACACAACTCATAAGTATGGTACCTTACCAGGAAGTATAGCGTACTTTCAATATGTTTCAAATGATAAGAACCATAGCTCCATCTGGACTCAGAAATCAGACAAGTCTGAGATTCAAATGTTTTCACTTCACTTATCATACTTGAAACATACATTTTCTGTCATTAGGCGAGTGTTTAACAGACCAATCTGTTAGCAATATCTTTTGAATTTACAAACATTTCATGCTGTTTTGATGTTGGATTGGATTGAATCCTTGCATCTAACACTGGAAATTGTATGGCCACGTAGCAGAGCATTTTGACATGACAGTCAGTGAGTCACAGAAGATTTTTGACGTTTACAGAACCGGTGGGCAAAATTTCAACCGGCTTTCAATAACTTCAAAAGAGAAGAAGGCCATCTTGTCCGAAGTACATTTTTATTCTAACAACCTATACTGTACAGCATCGCATGGTCATTTAATAGTATATAATGATAAGGAAGACGTTTCGTAATAAGCGAGGAAGTGAGTTTAGCGTCTAGCCCCCCTCCCCACCCGGCGTTTTCACAAACGCATCTTCCGACACGCCAAAAAAAAACGCGATACACAAACACGATTTTCTCCCGATCGGCTCAACCAAACACGACCAAACTTCGCCACCATGTTAAGACATAAGTTATCTACAGTCGACACTGTAGAGACTCACCCTGCTAATATCTGGACGGCGGTGAGAAAGACTAGAAGACAGACCTGTACCCACAGCTGACCGCTCACGGTCGCCATTTTGGTTCTGTTCCAACCAGGAAGTCGGCGCGGCGCCTCATGGGTAATGGCAGGTGACTTATGAGTATTTATGAGTATGAACACCTGTTACTGTCATAAACTTTACAGATTTAAACGTCAATAAAACATCAAGAACAAAAATCAAAGAGATATCTTTGATAAGACCTTTCTATTGTGTCATAAAATGGTTTAGCATTGCTCTTTTGTTAGCTCAGATTGATACAAGCAAACTTTCAACTTGTGAAACTTTGGAATTTTATTGTCAAAAGTTCAATGTTTTGTTCGTAAATTCGATAACACGGAAAGGATAAAGGACCCGGTAGCGTGCTTTAACTGGTACACTTTGTTGTATCAGAAGAGGATAATGGTGAAATAAGAAGATTAAAATTTGTACAACGAATGTCAACATTTTCTAGCAATAAAAATTGCTTGTATTCAATTTCTTTTGTGCATTCTGATCATGAAATATCAACAAAATGTTTAGACCACAGATCCTACAATCGTTGTGCATTGAATTGACTCTCATCAAAGAACTGTCTTAACTTTTTATACTCCTTTCTGACTGGTTGGTTGGTTGGTTGGTTGGTTGGTTGGTTGGTTGGTTGGTTGGTTGGTTGGTTGGTTGGTTGGTTGGTTGAAAAAAAACATTTTAATTTTTTCAGCTGGCTAAAGAATAAAAGAAAATTACATTGGTTTTACAGATTCAATGTCGACTGAATGTTAGTGGGCTATCCTGTAAGTTGAACTTTATTTTATATAGCGTGTATTAAATCTTAAATTAGCGTTAAATTCGCGGGATATTTGTGCCATTGCCTTCTAGTGTTTTCATATCACTAGAAGGCATTCGTATTAAATATTCCCACTTACGTCACAATGGACTGACATCTCGCGAGACTCTTGTTGAGCGAGATGTCAGGCCATGTGACCAACCCCTCATACTTCATCAGTTTTGTGAAGCCAGCCCCAGGGAAGGTAGCGTGTGGTTTAGCTCCGGTTGATCCGGCCATTTTTCTGTGATTCCAGCGGTGGCAGCATTATTCTGGTTCCATGGAGAATTCCCGCGTTGGTTACCTGGTTTAGAAGGTACTGTTGTGGTAGTGTCTTGAGGAAACAGGTTTGTCTGGTGGTATTTTGGAGCGCAGGCTAGATAAAGATTTGTCGACGTGGCAGCGCACGTGCATGCCTCGGTAGATAAGTACGTGTGCTATCCCTCTTCCTCTGGGTAACGTGTTTTCTATTTCACAGTTGCAGACTCCCGGAGGAACACTGTAGCGACCCCGAACGCGAGTACAACGCTGACCACGAGTGGAAACCAGCCCGTGGGTGCAAGCCTGCCAGCGGCCGTGTACAGTCCGGTCAGCGAGAGGGGATTTTCCCCGCCCCGGGGCGGAGCGTCTTGCCGCCCCGGGCGGAACGGGAGTGTGACCCGGCGATAGCGCTGCAGCAAAACCACTGCCACCAGATAGAGCGACCAGGCATCCCGAAGATAGTGACAGTTCTCTCGGGATCCAGTTCCGCGTTGTCGGCACTGGCCATTCCCGCAGGGAGTCACGGCACGGAACGCAGAGACGCCGTGGGTAGGAGTGTTGCCTCCGTCATTTTACGACCTTATTTTTGCGTGTGACCTCGGAGCGTTTCACACTTCTTTCAGTCTCGTATTTTTCCCCTTCTCGCGTGTTTTAAGCGTTGATGGCTCGTTTCCTCGGAAGGAAAGTTTGTGAAATTTTGGTCATTTTTTCCGTTTGGCCCTGCGTTTGCTAGATTGTCGGATAATCAACGGATTGGCATCGGGCTGATAGTGGAACAACCTGAGGCCTATTTCGGGGAAAGACTGTGGGACAATTCTTGTTAGTTCCTTTTGGTGTTGGCGGAGCTTCTCTGAGATTGTCGGACAGTCTCGAAGCGAGAAACTGTAGGACAGTTTCGTGTATCAGAGGTGGTAGGGACTGTCGGACAGTCTCAGAATTTGGGGCGTAAAACTGTTGGACAGTTTTATGGCATATCGCTTCCCCTGGTTAGAGGTTGTTGGACAATCTCGAAGCGAGAAACTGTTGGACAGTTTCGTGTACCAGAAGTGTTAGAGACTGTCGGACAGTCTCAGAATTTGGTGCGTAAAACTGTTAGACGGTTTTACGCATGGCATATCGCTTTGCCGGTGCATAGAGGTTGTTGGACAATCTCGAAGCGAGAAACTGAAGGTCAGGGTCAGGTATCAGTAGTGGTAGAGGCTGTCGGACAGTCTCAAAATTTATTGCGGAAAACTGTTGGGATAGAGGTTGTTGGACAATCTCGAGTTAGATGGGAAACTGAATAGTTTCGCTCTCCCTATGCGTGGAGGTTTCCGACAACCTCAAGGGGGGTTGGAGATGGAGGGCAGATTTCGGTAGTCTTCTGATCGTCTTTCGGTCACTTGGCGACTACCGACAGCAGGAGGAGAGGCAGTAGAGCAGCTTTCGGTCGTCTTTCATAGCGACAACCGATAGCAGAGGGTGGCAATAGGACAGTTTTCGGTCGTCTTCCATAAAGGCTATCTATAGCAGAAGGGGAGACGGTGGGACAGTTGTCGGTCGTCTTCCTTTAGCCATTGACCTTTTGGTTTGGCCTTGCAATTGGTCATTTTTCTTTGTTTTGTACGTCGTATGGAGATGCGTACCGTAAACGCATAGGAAGGCGCTTTGAGTACAATTTTTCGGTTGTATGTAATTGAGATAGCTACCTAGTTTTGGCATTTTATGGCTGGCTAAGCCCTTACTCGTGGACCGTGCGTGCTTTCCCCAATAGGTTTGCCGCCACCTCACAGCTTCGGCTAGTGGCCCGGGAAGCGAGCGAGGGCCCCTCCAGACCTAAATTTACTTAAGGTAGCCGACATATTTGAGTAAACGGAAGGGTTACCGTTTTAGATTAGAGGAACCGAAGGAGATGTACCCGTACCCGAGAGTTTGGGGTACACTTGAGGATGAGATAAGATTGAAGTGCTTTAGAAACATGTGTGTATGCATGATACCAGCATCACGTATACCGTCATCATCCCAGTTTTGGAAAGCTGGCGCAAGTAGCCCTTGATCCACTGAGGCTCTGGGAAGAGAAGGTGTCGGCTATCCAGTGGGTAAATGGGTCTGGAACGGGCCCCGCTCCTTTACGGACCACGGCCAGTAGTACAAGAACTGCTGGCAAGCTTGTTGCGAGTGAGGGCTCAGTGACTACAGTTCGGGGACTCAGTATTTGTGCCCCAGGCGGGCGAGTTCCACAGACTTTAAATCGAGATTGAATAAAAGAAAAGAAGACTACCCTCTCATGGTGTGTCTTGGCCTACTGAGTGTCTTTGCCTTACGTGACACTTAGAGTAAGGAATGGGAGAGGAGAGGGTAAGGAATGGGAAGGATAAGGATTGGGGGATAATGAGGAAGAGGTTTGAGAGTGAGCCTATGACAGGGGTTAAGGCAACCGATCACTGTAGCGTAGCCGAGGTCTTTTCCACCCAATCCTTAATCGATCACCTTGGCGAGAGTGGAAATATATAATTATTCCCACTTACGTCACAATGGACTGACATCTCGCGAGACTCTTGTTGAGCGAGATGTCAGGCCATGTGACCAACCCCTCATACTTCATCAGTTTTGTGAAGCGGGGCGACAGAGAGAAGGTAGCGGGGTTAGCGTACAACCCGTCTCGTGAGTAGCCTGGTAATTAGAGCGACGTGAACTCGGCGCGGCGAGTACCGGGCGTCAGGGTAGATGATGTAGACACACTGATGGTTTCTTTAAGGGTAGGCGGGGAAATTCAAGTTCTTGACCGGCAGCGTCATGGGAGGCCCACGCCTGGCAAATGGCCATCGATGCCGCAAGCACTGGCGGGTGAAACGTTACGTCGGGAGGTACGAGGATGAGCCGCCAGGTCGAGGTACTAAGTAGTAGAGGGGTGGACGAGGAAGAGGAAAAAGAGCAACAGCTAGAGATAGGTCCTCGGGTATAGGTCGCGTATGTTTAGTCAAGGCCAGTATTAAAGGCTGGGGTAGGGAATAACCCCAAGTCGACCATAATGCTCAGTACCCAGACTGTCTTTAGGGTAGAGGACGCAAGAAAAGGAGAAGGCTGGACGGAAATGAGGCGGGAACGAAAATAACCTCCCCCCCCCCGCCCACCCCACACTCACGGTGAGAGTCGCATGTATGACAGGGAGCAGACACTCGACACTAGCTCGCCGAGGTCTTTTCCACCCAATCCTTAATCGATCACCTTGGCGAGAGTGGAAATATATAATCATTAGAACATTCATCATTTTTCAGCTTCAATCCGCCTCAAGCAGCCCTATGCACCGATCATCATTTATTGAAGAGGGTGTGCATGGGGGGGGGGGGTGCTGATTACGCTTTACGCTAAATTTATGGAGGCTCGCAACGCTTTACGTTAAATTCCGGGAGGCCGGCAACGCTTTACGCTAAATTCTGGCACAGAATCGACCCCGTATGCGATATAAAATGCGCACAATCACGGGCGTCGCGTGAGCCATGGTGGGATTGTACCGCACACATGGACCCAGATGGGACAGGCAAGAAAGGGACAGACAAGATGCGACTGAGACTGACTGCAGATATGCTCCCGCCACCCGGCCAATACTGACCAACTATAGCACAGAACTCCACTGATGTCATGGGTGCTCTCGTGTCCAGGTTAGACAATAGAAATCATGGGTACGACGTTGACCCAACAGGTCATCCGCTGGTTGCTGGTTCGACCGCTACGGCTTACGAAAAACGGAAGTCCAGACTACGATTTACGGGGAATTTTTAGGCTCGATTACGCTTTACGTGAAATGCACTGGCTACGCTTTACGGGAAATGTTCGCCTCCTCACTACGAATTGCGGTAAATAAAATAACTTCCCTACAACTTACGGGAAATTAAAGAGGCCCGCCTACGCCTTACGGAAAAGAGCATGCAGACCCTCATTGGTAGCCTCTACCAGGCTTCCGGAAGCGGGGGGTTACAGAGAAGGCAAAATATATAGACCGACCGTGAGATAACATGCCAGGGGAGTTGGTCCGCTAAAGAGTGAGGAAGAGGCAAACTGTACTCCTTTAAGCGACGGTCACAACTCGCCGTGCGTTCTTTTTGTCCGTACGTTTTTGTCGTGGCTACGTCTGCTACGTTTTTTCTGCAAACGTAGGGTGGCCGGCCGAGGGAGTACGTCACTCGCACGGTTGCGCAAGGTGTACGTACGTGGTCTGCACGACACGCCTGGCCGTCAGCGGTTGCGTGCATCGTACGTTGCGCAAGTGGTAAGTGAGTTGTACGTGCTTACAACGTACGATCTCTGTGCGATTGCTACGTTGCCGCGTACAGGCCGTACCTACACGTGCGGCGTACGCACGGTTTCCTTAGGACCCTGTCACACTTCTGCGAATAGACTTGCGTATGAGTTGCGAACGGACATTTTTTTCATACGCAGCCGTACGCAAACTGCGCACTTCATGTGCATCTCAGTCGTTGTGTGTAAGTTTTGTGAACGCCGGCATACGCACAGCACACGCACCGCCCGGCTCAGTACGCAGCGTAGTTTTGAGCATGCCCAAAACTACGCTGCGTACGCTGTTACGCAGTTCATGCGTTTTTAATATGTAATGCATCGGTCAAGCACGGTACGAGTACGCTATGTCTTCGTGGGGGACACGCGGCTCATACGCTGACCTGCACCTGGAACTGCACCTGTGCATAAGCTGCGTACAATGGACGGATGCATTGCGTACTTACAGCGCTTTAGTACCGTTCGTATTGCAACAAGACAGCGCATTGTACGTATTTGTAACTAATGAGAAGCGCAAAGGTTGCGTACCAATCTAGATAGCGAATTGCCGAACACCTTGGCAACACCCGGGGTACGGGCTCCTCTGGACCTCATGGTTACAGACCTCCTGGAGCATTTTACGTAAGATGTGACAAAAATAATTTGTTAAATATGTTATGATTGGCTCTTTCTAATATGTTTTGCTGAAAAGTAGATGATTTTTGGGAAAACGTCTTTCCTATATAGGGCGCAATTTGTTTTACAAAAATGCATTTTGACACTTTTTAACTCAAAAGAACACCCCTGTACCGCCTCCATATCCATATCGCATCAATATACCTAAATTCAACATAAATATTTCCTTTTTTTCCCTTTACTTTAGAATAATGCGCCAGTTGCATGTTTTTGTGTCGGTAGATTGTAGTGTTCGCACATATGTGTAGTGTTCATGCTATCTGTGTGTATGCGCAATTGTAACTTGTCTGTATTGCAAGTATGGGTGTTTTCAAATTATTACGGGGAGGGCATTTCTTGCCATCCCCAATTCATCAAGGCTATCAACAGGCTATAAGGCTATAACTGTTATGTTTGTTACAAATTGTATAAAGACTGGGTACGTGTATTCAATTTACCTGACAAGATATCACAGGAAATTGACCAGGGCTATGGCGAAATGGAAACAAACACATTTTATCTGAGTTGAGGGCGGCCCATGAATGACTCCCTGCGAATGAAACAGCAGGAAGCAGCAGGGAATACGTACACAAGACGCTTGGCATTCGTCGGAAGTGCGTTAGGCATCCGGTGGGCATACGCTGAGTGCGTCCGGAAAACGGTTGGCCTTCGCAATGCATTTGAACGCCATACGGATGTCAAATGCAATCTATGCGCTGAATTCGTTATTTATACGCTACATGTGCGTTAAAGTAACGTTACGTGTTGTGCGTACGGCAGAAATGTCTGTACGCAACTCAAACGCAATGGCTATTCGCAAAAGTGTGACAGGGCCCTTACTCACTCGCACGTTGTAAGTGCGTGCACCTCCTGTTAACTTCATCATCACTAGCCGCCCTGGTGTCTTCCGCGGCCCGTTTCTTTGGGTCTTGTCTGGTAGTCTTCTTCTGAGCCTTCCTGGGCATCTTGGAGACGAGTTGGCAGTCGCCCGTCAAGTTGTCTTTATATACTGTAGAGATCAGGTGCGTTGCACGTGCGTTGCACGTGCGGAGCACCTGGTATGGTGCACGTATGTTCTGCGTGGTCATTGAGCAGGTCAACTGGGAAGTGAGGAGTAAGCAGGGATGACGCAAGCACCGTGCGTGGCACGCACGTGCTTCGTGCGCTGTCCGTACAGCAATTGCACGTGAGAATAGTGAAGTTAGACTCACGGAGTCCGTACGTTGCACGCTCATAGGCTGTACGGGGCACGCGCCTCGCACGTACTCGCACGCACGGGTGGTAAATCCGCAGACCGCACGTAGAAAAAGTATTACATGCACTTAAAGTTCTACGGCGTGTGTGCGTGCTCCCAAATCCGTAGGATTCCGTACGGAGGTGGTACTCACCACGCACGGATGCCCTACGTTTGTCCACGTTTTTGCACGTAGACAGCACGCAGAAGCACGTACGGCGAGTTGTGACCGTCGCTTTAGCGGACCAAGGATATTCTTTGTAATGTCCTTGAGCGGACCACATAGAAGCTCCTTGAGCGGACCAACTTCCCTGGCATATTTTATGTCTAGTAGTTTACGTTGGCCAATTTCTACTCTTTCCAGCCCAAAGCCAGGCAGAGACTATGAGATTGGCTCCATTAAAGCACTAATGGTTGCACGAGTTTATGTTACACAGATAAGATGTTTACTCGTACAGTTTATACATATGTTTAAACAGTCACAAAGTCTGTAAAGGGAGTTAATAACAAAGTCCACTATCAGCACTGGTGAACTTTGTTCCGAAACTGCCCACATTATTATTAACGTTAGCAGACGTCCAATCAGAGACGTTTTTTTAAGGTTTGCCGTTAAATTTGTTGCTTGTTTCCTCAGGAGAGAAAAACAAGCAGGAAAACATAATTAGAGCACTGCTAGGTCCCCTCAGCCAATAGGGATCCTGGATTTTTAGTGATTATATCCACATAGTAGCATACTTGTGAGTTAGTGTACCTCTCTCCCTTGGGGTAGAGATGCACTAACTAACCAGCCACCCTCTTCTCAGCCAACCAGTGAGCTGGAATTGGTCCCTCTCTAGGGACAGAGGTGCTCTAACTAACCGAATAAATTACACTATGTTGGACCCGCCCATTGTTATTTCCATGGAAACAACAACTGGCCAATGGCAGTGTCCAGCTTTCTGCCCTGGGGAATCAGAGGAGACTGACCGGCTCATCACCACACATGGTTTGACTCTTCTTGGAGTTGTTTGGCTGTCCATCTGGGCTGATTAACGACCTAGCGGTCGTTAATCAGCCCAGATGGACAACCAAACAACTCCTCGAAACAAGACAAAAAGTGACACTAAACAAAGATTTATAAAGCAAAAATCAAGTTCTAGTGGATGGAGTTGATCAACTTCGGGGACCTAGAAGTGCTCTAAGTTAGATAGAGCACGGTTTGAGGCTGAATACTCGGATTT